GGGTTACATAAGGCTCAGACTCGGTACCCCCACAGGCCTAGGCTATACAAAGGGTATTTGAAACTGACATTCCTAATGGAAATTTTATAAAATTTGGCCCTTAGAATAACTGAGAAATATCCTGAAAAAATCTTCCCTGAAACTGTAATAAAGAAGGTTTCTTATCTACTGATAAAATCGACAACTCAGTAAACTATTTTTTTGCTGGTCATCCTACATTAAAAAAAAAAAAAAGCACAAATATATTTGCCTCAGAAATCTGTTAAAAGCAGGGGACCACGCGGTAAAAGAGTATAAAGATCCTATAAATGGGAGAGTACAAGAAAACGTCTCTCCAAAATGTCCACAAGGATACATATGCCCATTGGAAGAAAAAGTAAGAATATACATATTATTAATCATCCAGAGAATAAAAAAGTTAAGATTGATATAATATATTTATATTGAATGACTACTTTAAAATAGAGCAACTTATTTGCTTTATTTCTCAGATTCCTTAGGCAAAAGTCACTTAAGTTCTGAAGTGAAAAAGAAATGTAAATTTCTTTTACTGGACCAATATCAAATGAGGATGGTTTTAACTCCCAGAGAAGAGAAAGACAAGTTTTGCCTTTTGAGTCTTTCTCTTTTTCAAAAAATAAAAATAGCATAAAAACAACTAAATCCTCCTGACTGCTATACCCATGCATATTAAAATCACTTCCCCTTGATTAACATTACAAAGAAACATCTCTGCCCAAAAGGGTTGTAATGATCTTTCTCTAGCTAAAGGATAATCATTCTACAAATAATTTGCCCTGTGACTGTAGTCATTCATAACATACATAATATTTGCAAAGCACAGTTTAAATACACTGCCTTTTATTAGCGTTATTATTATTTTTTTAATAAAAGGGATGCATATCAGAGTGTAAGAACTGGAAGATTATTTCCACAGTTTAAAGAATTAATAAGAGAATGCTGGTTTAAGGTCTTACAGTTGGAAATCTTACCAAAATGCCATCATCAAAGTCTGTGAACTAGTTATAAACAGCAGGATACCCACTGGCTAGGCTGCGGCGCTCTCAGCGCCCACCCCCCACCCCCATGTTACCATTTTAAGATATTCTGTCAATGCTTAGTTAAAAATAAGACTTACTTAAGAGACCAAAAAAAAAAAAAAAATGCAATTAAACTTTTATTGAAGACTATCCAGTGGCAAGAATACCTGTGTATTATATTATGTTTTAGACATTCAATAAAGAATTCATTAAGAATGATTTTCACAATGCATTCATCAAATCAGCCTTAAATATGGTTAAAAGCGCATCCAAGCGCCTGTCCTGAGTTCTAACAGGTTTTTAATTTAGTTCGCTGACCATCTATTTTTCTTTTATTTTACTCTCAAGAACTTAGCTACAGAGCTTTTAAAAAAGATATTATTATTAAATCAAGACTATTTGTTTCCATCCCGAGGCCAATTATGTTATTAATTTACTTAAAGTTTCTACCTCACCACAAAAAATGTCCAAGATTCATCTATGATTAAAACATAAAACGCATGCAAAGTTTTCAGGTTTTCAAAATACATAGACTCAGTCTTATAAATGGGTTTGTGTTTTCAACAAGTTTCAGGACTGCAGCAGAGGGCCGCCACGTAAAACCACCAGCACAGAGAATTGTCAATTGTAAACCGCTGGTTCAATTATTCGTGGCTAAAATAAATGTCCGACCAATGACTACATTAGTCTATCATTTTGAAAGAAAGAAAGGAAAAAAAAAAAAGGTAAACAACTCCAGAAATCCAGTTCTATATTGAGAACCTTGTTAACACCATCAGCCCTTCCTTTCCCCAAGTGTACTACTGAAATCTGATGGTTCATCCAAAGGAAAAAGCCACAGAAATCGGTCCATCTGTAGCAAAAGCTGGTTGGCTTCGCATCCCAGGGCTGGGGGCTGGGGTGGAGGCTCGCCCGGGCCGGAGGGAGGCTGGGGGAGGCCGGGCTCGGAGCGCGGGGGAGAGAGGGGCCGAGGAGAAGTGGGAGGGGAGACGGGGAGGGTGCGGGGCCCCTGCGGCCCAGCAGTTCCCGGTGCCGTGCCGACGCATGCATTTGGTCTCGCCAAACCTCCGGAAAAATGGAGGCCGAACCTTGGTAAATCCTGTCGGTGGGTTAAAAAAAGGGTTGTGGTGCTTTGGCCCGGAGTTTCAATTAAGCCGCTGCAAACCTCCCCCGCTGCAGGCGCCGCAGCTCGGAGGTGGGGCTGGCGGGCTGGCGCGCCGGGCCCCGCGTGGCCTCCCCGCCCCCGCGGCGCGGCCCCCAGGGAAAGGGGGGCAGAAGGCACGCAAGGGGGGCCGGAGCCGGGCCCTGCCGCGGGGAGCGCTCGGACACAGGCCGGGTCTGCGGACAGGAGAGCGGAGAAAAAGGGAGCGGGGCGGGCAAACGGTCCCCAGCGAGCAGGGAGCGCGCGCGGGGTGCGGATCCCGCCCGCGCCGCCGCGGCCGGGACCCTGGGAGGGCCGTGGGGGAAGAACCACGGCGCCGCCGGACCCCCTTACCAGGCGGCCCGCCCGGAGGCAAGTTCCGGGGCGGCCCGGGAGCCGGCGCGCGCGCGAGGGCGCAGGCCACGCGGGTGCGGCGGCGCCTCCCCCGCCCACCGCCCGTTGGCTTTCTCCCCCCGCCACGCTGCGGGCCTCGGGGCACCAGGGCGGTGTCCCCGCGCGCCTCCGGGCCCCACCGCCGCAGGCCGCGCCCCCCGTGCCTCCGCCGCCCCACCGACACCCCGGTGGCCGCGGCTCGGAGGGCGGCGGCGGTGCCATGTTCCTCCCGCCGCCCCGACAAATCGGTAAGAGACGGACCCGACAACCTCCTCCTGGCCCCCGTCGCCACTCGAGATCCAGGACTGTGGCCTCGCTCCCCACAGCATCTACCTCTGCGCCCACACGGAGATGCGGCGTCAGGGGGAAAAAATTCAAAACCGGGAGCGGCCGTCCCCACCCTCTGAGGGGGAGCGGCGGGGATCAGAGCGCCCCGAGGGCGGCTGTCACCGCGACGCGCAGCCGGGACGCCGCCCGGAGCAGAGAACGCACACCCCCCGGCAAGCGCGGGACACTGACCGCGCGCGCTGGCACCGTGTCCTCGCCGAGCCCGCCCCTCCCCGGCCGGCTCCCCGAGCTTCTCGGCGCTGCCCGCCCGCCAGGATGGGTGGAGAGAGAGTGGGAGTGGAGGAGGAGGTGAGAAAGGAAATGGTGGGGCGGGGGGAGGAAAGGGAAGGCAGAGAAAGAATCCTCCTCCCTCGTTTTCAGTAACTAGCCACGGAAGGCAGAGGAAAAAGAAATGGGCCTGCCAATTGAACACTTTCCAGCCTAACCCCCACCTCCCACCCGCGCACACAACAGCCTCGTCACTGAGCTGCGACAACACGACCTCCAGTTTGACTTCTATAGAGACTATTGGCGATGCGCGTTTCTATCAGTTCCAGCTGATTTATTAAAATTGTCAGGATACAGACTTCCAGCACAAAAAAAAAACAAAAAAAAAAACAGGCAATGATGTCGACAGTGCATTGAGTCTGCTTTGCCACCATTTGCTACAAAATATGCAGATGGTCTGTACTTTATTTAGATTATATTGCACAAAATGAGAAACTTTTTAAACTATGTGCCTTTTTTTTTTCTTTTTTAGCTAAAAATCGAGAATCCAGTTTCAAACCTTCCATCTGGGGCCCCATCCACATATCACAGCGTATGAGATACATAAAGTCCTAGTATAGTACAGTACATATACAATCTTTAAACTAAGATAACAGCTCTGAGGTCTATATCACCATTTTCAATAAATCTTTACCTACAAATATTGAACAAATCTCTACTATAGCTGTACAAAAAAAAGTTTGTTTTTTTTTTAAACCACAAGGCCTTTAGATGCAAGGATTACTTAAAAATTTTAATCCTTTTTAAACCAGGACATCACGTACCAACATACTTGCATGCTTAAAAAAAACAAAAAACCCAAAAAACAAAACAAAACAAAAAAAACAGAGGAAAAAAATCAAAAGGGAAGAAGTGCCTGAAAGTCTTACTGAAAAAACACAGCAAGAATGTTCCCTTTTCACTGTACAAAAATACGCCTGAAAATATATTAATTTTTAAAAAAGACTGAGGTCTGTTATGTATCAAAAATGTTTCAATACCTTTTGTACTGAGGTCTAGGCTGTCTGGTATTCAATCAAGGAGGTATAAGGGAACAAGTTACAAAAAAAAAGTTGGCAAGTAGAAATCACATTTGTAAAACCATAAACAATTTGATCTGAAAAGTAAACTCTGATCTTAAGTCAGTTCACAGTTTTTTTTTTTTTTTTTGTGAGCGTTTGTACAGTCTGCATTTTTTCAAGCTCCCTGCAGTTTTGTTAAGAATCGGATGCATAGAAGACATCAGTTTTCTCCCTCCAAAAAAATAAAATAAAATAAAAAAGTTGCAATGGTCCCTTTTTTGTTTTTGTGTTTGTTTTTTTTTTTTGTTTGTTTTTTTTAAAAATCACCAGTTCTTTAAGATCTCTTAAGAAAAAAAAAATCTCCAACCAACTCCCTAGCGTAACGGTTGTGCTGCCAAAAGGTCCTCTCCAGACGTCTTCCAGACTTCAAAGACCGACAAGCTTCAAACAGCGCCTTCCGGAGCGGGTCCTCCCTCCCCTCCCCCGCCCTGTCCCCTCCGCCTTTGTTGCAATCACGAATTTCAGGAAAAAGAAGTAATAATTACAAAAACACATTTTTGGGGGAAAAATCACAACTCCAGACTAGGTATGCAACTACCTTGAGACACGATAAAGGAAGGGAGGGGAGCAAAAAAAGGACAGGAAAAATGTTTTAAAACTACTCATTTCACTTTAACTCCACCAACGTTTTCATCATCTTTTCCAATTTCTTTGTGTCACGACATCATATCAAGATCAGCATCTTCTTGTCTCCCCTCCACCCCACCACCACCACCACCACCACCATCGACACCACCACCACCACCACCATCATCATCATCATCATGACCACCACGACTTCCTCCCGAGGAACCCTGCTCTGCACCCCGCGGAGAGAAAGAGCGAGAAGCGGGGCGCCCCTCTCAATACGTGAACACCAGGTCGGAGAAGTTCGCCTCCAGCCAGTCCCCCGCGATCATCTCGCTCAGCTCGGGCGTGCAGTAGTCGGGGAACTCGAAATGGGAGCCCAGGCTGCCCTCGCTGAACGAATCCAAATCCTTATCCACCAGAGACAGGGACAGGTTCCCGGCCGCCGCGCCGCCCCCCAGCTGCTGCTCGCTGGCGCTGTGCGCGCTCTGGGAGAAATTCAGGCTCAGGTCGAACATGAGGTCGTCGGCGTCCTCGGCGCCGCTGCTCCCGCTGCTGCTGGACGAGGTGGAGACGGAGCGCGAGGACGCGGGCGAGAGCGCGGGCTGCGCGGGCGGCGGCGGCTGCTGCTTGGTGATGTTCTTGAAGCTGTAGTAGAGGCGGCTGCCGCCGCCGGCGCCCGCGGTCGCGCCGGCCCGCACCTCGTCGTACAGGCTCGCGCCCTCGGGGGACTCGGCCGCACTGCTCAGCGTCGGGCTGGCGGGCACTTTGGCGACGTTGTAGCGTCTCAGCAGCGGCGGCGGCTGCTGGCCCGGCGGCTGCAGGAGCTGCTGGTGCGGCGGCTCGTCGTCGTCCTCGTCCGCCTCCTGCTTGATCCGCAGCTGCAGCTCGTCGTCGTCCTCGTCGTCCTCGTCGTCCTCGTCCAGGAACACACACTTGGCCGTCTTGCCCGCGCCGCCCGCGCGCAGGCTGCCGAGCGCGCAGTCGTCGCCCGCGCCGCCCAGGTCCCCGGGCTGGGCCGCCCTGCCCGCGCCGGCCTTGGCGCCGCCGGGCGCGGGGGCCGCGGGGGCCGCGGGGGCCGCGGGGGCCTTGGGCTTGCCGCATTTCTTGCCCGAGCCCTTGGAGGTCTTGGCGCCGCCCGCGCCGCCGCCCGCGCCGCCGCCGCCCGCCGCGCTCTTCTCGGGGCTCTGGCCGGCGCTGGGCTTCGCCGAGGGGTCCATTTTGGGCTTTTTCCGGGGCCGGTACTTGTAGTCGGGGTAGTCGGCCATGTGCTTGAGCCGCAGCCGCTCCGCCTCCCGGATGAACGGGATCTTCTCGCTGTCCTTCAGCATTTTCCACCGCTTGCCCAGCCTCTTGGAGATCTCGGCGTTATGCATGTCCGGAGACTGCTCCATGATCTTCCTGCGCTCGATCTTGGACCACACCATGAAAGCGTTCATCGGCCGCTTGATGTGGCCCGACGCCGTCTTGCACCAGTCCGGGTCGCTCTCGTCCAGGGCCACCGGGCTGCAAGCCATGAATTCGCCCTCCTCCGTGTCCAGCGCCTCCCGGGGCAGGTTGCTCTCCGCTTCCAAGCCCTCCGCCTGCTGCACCATGATCCGCCGCGGGGCTGGGCGCTCCAACCCGGGCCGCTCGGTCTCGTGCGGAGGTCCCCCTCCCCCTCTCGCCCCTCCACCTTCCCGGGCAAGTTGCAGAGTCCTCGGTACCCCGCGCCCGCGGCTCCCCCCCTCCCCCCCGCCCCCCCGTCCAGGCTGCGCACAGCGGCTGCGGCGGCTGCGGCGGCGACGGCCGCCGGCGCGCGGGGAGCTGCGACGCGAGAGGCGGCGGCGGTCGAGGCAGCCCGGGACCCCTCTCCCTCCGGCTCGAGGCTCCCGCCGCAAGCGCCGGACCCCGAGCTCTCCCCGGCGCGCGCGCTCCTCCTGCAAAAAGTTGAGGGCTCTCTCCCAACTAGTTATCAGGGTGTCATATGGGTGACATCACTCCGCGGGCCAGCCAATGGCTGGGGGCCGGCTCCGCCCATCGCCCTTTATTAACTCCTCGGCCACACCCCCTCCCCCGCCCTCCGGCTGCTTTGCAAAGATGGGGGCTGGGGGGAGGCGCGTCTGGAAATATGTTATTTTTCAAAAATCCGCGTGTGTGCACAGATGCGCCTCTCCCCGGGATGCGCGGGAGCCACGCACGCACCGCGGCGAGCCGGGCTAGTCCGGCCAGGTCCGGCGCCCCTTTATGCCGGGTCCCCGGGAGGCCCGTCCGAGCGAGCCGCCCCGGCGCGCCCGCTCTCCCGGTGCACACACTCGGGCGCGCGCGCCGCCGGAGCGGGCGGGTGCCGCCCGGCGCGCCCCCGGGTGGGCGCAGCTGCTTCCCGGGGCCGCGCGCGCCCGAGCCCGCCAGGGGAGCCCGCCGCGCCCCGGCCGACGGAAGGTGGCGCTTTAACACAACACCTCCCGGGCACGTGGGCTCTCTCCTCCTTTTCCCTTTCTCCCCTTTTCTAAGGCAAAGAAATCCATATAAAGCCCGAATGGCTTCCCGCCCCCTCCCCCGTCTGCATGTTCTGTTTTGTCCTTTTTCTCCGTCTGTTCTCCCCCTTCGGAGGCGATCTGAGCCGCGGCGGGCGGGTTTGGCTGCGCCCTGCCCGCGTGCGTCCGGCCCCAGGCCGAGGCCGGAGTAACGGTCTGTGGGGTTGCGCTGGGGCCGGTCCTTGCGTTCAATCTGGCCCTGCGGAGGCTGGTTCCAAACCGGTCCTGGGACCCGCTAGCCTCGCCACAGCCCCGCCCATGCGTCTCTGGCCCGCCGCGTCTCCTGCTCGCCCCCTCCCCCGGGCTGCCCCCCGCCCCAACTCCTTCCCATTCCCCCTCTTCCTCTTTGTCCCCTCCCCCTCTGGGTCCCCAGCGCCCTCCTAGGCGGCATCATCCAGAAAATCTCGCAAGGAGCAAGCATGCCTTCTGGGGCATTCGCTATTGTAGTTAACGACCTGGACCAAAGAGAGAACAAGGTGCATCCCAACTTTGGAGTGGAAAGACGTCCTGCATCTGTGGAAAGGTGGGGCGGACTGCTCTTAGGACAGCGACAGAGCGATCAGGCTGGCTTACTGAAGCAGCCCCATGCCCGGTCGATCCTGCTGTGCCACTTGGAAACCCGTTTTTCTTTGTGTTTCTTTATTTAGTCGCTGTTACCCATCTGTGGATATTATGGAGGCGGGGGGGGGGGGGATGAAAATAAAACCGCCGCTTCCTATTCATTGTCTGTCGTCATCACTGGCTTCACACCCTCCAGCGATCTGGCAACTTTGAGTAATTCCCAAGATACTGCCCAGAGTGTTTCACAAGAGAAGTCGGCCGCTTAGGACTAGTAAAATTACCCAAACCGGCTTCCTTCCAGGTTCCCTTCCTGCAAATAATACTGCATTATCCAAGCATTGCAGCTTTCTGATGTCTTTAATACATAAAATGGTACCACGTTTTCACATTTTTCACAGACCATCCTATGTGTAATATATATACCACCATCGCCGTACCCTCCCCCACCTTTTGCATCCTAAAGAAAAATACTGCATCCGTACTTGTGACATTCAGGCCGGTCGTGCTGGCGATTTATTTTTTGGAACCATAGGAGCGAGAGGAATTTACACCCATGCATACCGGGTGACCTGAAGTCTGGAGAGGTATAAAACCCAAAGGCGGTGTGTGAAAATTCATATTCACTCCCACAAGGCAAGCACTGCGTCCCCTTCCTGGCTCATGTCACACATTTCCCAGCCGTTCCAGCTACAAGAGGCACACCACAAGAGGGTGGGTGGATGGAATGGTGGATCCACACTGCTCTTCCCCCAGCACAGGACACATCCATACTCTAGCCAGAAGGCTTGAAATAATTTAGCTCAGTTGCATTATTTTCATGCAAACCATGAGGGCATCTAGTATTTTAGACTTTGAAAGAGAATGCATTTGAAAATCTTCAGCAAATTCAATATTTATTTGCCTTTTCACTCCATAGCAAAAATCATGTTTAACTTTAGAATGAGAATTAGGGGAGTACAATAAAGCTGGAAAATAATGGGTTTATTCTCTGAGGGCCATGATCTTCTGAGAGGAAATAGAAGCTAATATTTACCCTTCCAGATAAGAAACATAATTTCTGTTCTGAGAAAGATGGGTCATCTTTGGAGAAGAGAAAGCCAGAGTACCACGGTTGTTTATTAGTGTGAGCGGGCGGGCTGGGATGATGAGAGGTCAGTCCTTTGACTCAGTGGGTCTTTCAATCAACACACTGCACAGGTTGGAGGAGGTAAGGCAGGCATGGGGGCTTGCACAGGAATGTCCTGGAGCAGGTTCCTTCCTCTCTATTCCATACACAAGGTAAGAATTTTCAGACAGTATTACCTAGATTGCTATTTTGTAACATGATCTACCCCACCTATTCAATGTGCCTGAGTTTAGTGAGGATTTGGAGGGGGGAAAGGAAAAGACAACTAAATAATTCATCTGTATACTTTTCTTTCTTCCTTCCTTCCTTTCTTTTTCTTTCTTTCTCTCTCTCATTCTCTCTCTCTCTCTTTCTTTCTTTCTTTCTTCCTTCCTTCCTTCCTTCCTTCCTTCCTTCCTTCCTTCCTTTCTTTCTTTCTTTCTTTCTTTCTTTCTTTCTTTCTTCTTCTTTCTTCGCTTTCTAAGGAAAAGTTTTAAAAGAAGGAAATAAGAACGTGTTTGACACCTTCATGCTTCTTACGGGTATAAAAAATAGACGTTTGCAACATCAGCAGTAACCAACTATTTAAAGGAGTTTTAGGCTAACAAATGGAAAATGTGGCCCTCTGTAAGGATACCTACATCTCCTGAAAGTCTAATTTAGTTAAATGGAAATTTACCTGCTATTTTTAAAACCACAGAATGTATATCAGGATTAGGCCTAGGGGTCATCCTTTTTATAGCCAATATACATTTCATATATGTGTGAATATTTATATATTTATAAGCAAGATACGTGATTTTCCTGCTAATCGTACACATTGTTGGAGATATAATTCAAGCTCAGAGTCTTAAGATTTACATTTGATTAGAGCTACACATGACTAATTTTATGGTTATTATTGTCTTTTACAAATGCATCTTTACAAAGAAGACCCTTCATTTTTAAGAACTATTATGTAAGGGGGTAAGATATTCTACGAAAATCTCTCAAAATTATGAGAACACAATCAGAATACATATGAAACGTTCCTTTCCCCTCTGAACAAGAAACATTTCTCTAGGCAAATAATACACTAAAAATATCACTGGGTAAATATTTGACTCATTAAATTGAACATATCAGTTTTAAAAGTGCTCTGACTACATGCGTTTCTCCCTTGCTGAAATGATACTGTGCAGGACCATTCTTTCCATGTCTTCTCTCTTGATTTTCTCTCCTGAAATGAGCTCCCCCACTCCCAGTGCAGCTACCTGTCTGTATCTCTGCCTCAGACCTGGATCCCAAGTTTGATCTGTAGATCTTCTGTCTTCCGGGGGGTCCCCCTTGTAGGTATCCTCACACGTTAATGGATATAAATTGAACTCACCTGACTCTCCAGACCCTGTTTTGCCCTATTGTTCCCATGGTGCTTTAGGGCCTTGGCATTTTATTCTATCCACCTAGAACTTTCTTTTCACCTGGTCTTTGCATCTTGATCTCCTGCATTGCATTTAGACCCAGGTACAATGCTGGGAGGGCTTCTAAGCACCTGATGCCCCTCCCCTCGACACATAGGCTGCCAATGACTGTCACTACCTGTTTGGTTCATCAGGACGCACTTTAAAGTTGCTAAAATAATCTCGCTGATATTCTCCCTCATTTAATCTCTGAATCACCCAGCCTGAGAGTATGCTTCATTAAGGCACGACAGAAGGGCACAGGGCAAGGACCTGGAACTTTTAAAACATAATTTTACATCATGATGAGCGCACAAGTTATACACATACAAAGCAGAAACCAAAGTGACACAAATGAATATCTCTCCTTATTAAGTATAATTCAGGCTACTTTCTATTCCATTTCTTTAAACAATGCTGCTTAAAAACCACTGAATTTACCTATTAATGAGACATTATTAAGTTTGAATAGCAGTGGCTTGGGTGTTCTAAGACTCTAGTATGTTCTGCTTTGGATTGAAAATTCCAGTTGCAGTGTCCATCTGTCCATCTGTCCGTTCTTTCCCTCCCTCCCTCCCTCCCTCCCTCCCTCCCTCCCTCCTTCCCTCCTTCCCTCCCTCCCTTCCTTCCTCCCTTCCATGGACACACCCTACTAGAGGGGTAAATTAGCTAAAATTTGTGAACCTGCATTGACACATCAAAATTACCCACAGCCCGTAGTTTACACCAGGACTCACTCTCCCGGTATTGTACACTCTATAGGTTTTGACAAATGGATAATGGTATGTATCTACCATTATCATATCATACAGAGTATTTGCACTCCTCCAAATATCATTTGTTCTCCCCCTAAAAATCATCCCCCCCGCCTACCCCCACCTCTGGCAACCACTGATCTTTTTACTGTCTCCATAGTTTTTTTGTGTGTGTGTCTTTTCCAGAATGTCTTCTAGTTTCAATCATGCAGTGTGTAGCCTTTTCAAATTGTCTTCTTTCACTTAGAAATATGTATTTAAGGTTCCTCCATGTCTTTTCATGGCTTGACAGCTCTTTTGTGTGTGTGTATGCTGAGTACTTTCCATTGTCTGGATGGACCACAGTTTATTTATCCGCTCAACTACTAAAGGGCATCTTGGTCGCTTCCAAGTTTTGACAATTATGAGTAAAGCCGCCATAAATATCCATATGGAGTTGTTGTGAATCAGTTTTCGATTCATTGGGTAAATACCAAGAAGCACAATTGCTGGATCCCATGGTAAGAGTATATTTAATTTTGTAAGCAACCAGCAAACTCTCTTCCCAAGTGGCGGCAGCCTTTTCAGTACCAGCAGCGACGCACGAGAGCTCCCGTGGCTCCACATCCTCGCCAGACCTGTGCCTCCAGCCTCAAGTGCTCAGAACACACCTGTGCGTCGTGAGTGGCCCACGAATGTTATCGTCGTTGTTATTTTAACCTTTCTGT